TGACGAGAAAGATTTAGTTTGATTCTGGATTTAACTTGGAGCCAATGAAGAGAAGCCTGCATGGGAGAAATATGTTGTCTCTTTGTAGTGCCTGTCAGTATTCTTGCTGTACTCTTGTTATTCAGTTGCCATAACAAATTAAATTTTTGTGTGATTTGAGATTAGCCCAAAGATAATGTGAGGGTTGCATTAGCAAAGTAGTGGTGGATTATAATCATGTATTTTACATAATCTAAACAGTGATAATAAAAAAAAATACAACTCTGCATGTGCCTTTCTGTTAATTCTAGCATGGAGATTTGTCATCTAAGGAACAACATCACCATGTGTCCACTGTGTGACAGAGTATGCAGCTACTGGAAACTTAGCACTGCCTGTGGGACTGCCCGGGCAAGTCATCTGTTTGACAATCCTGCCACAGTTTTCTTCTCTATATTCATGGCTCTCTGGGGTGAGTGAAGATACAGAAGCTCATTCAAAAAAACAAAAGTAGAGTATGTGTGTCCACTTTATAACGTGCTGTTAAAAAGTATACGCCTCTCCCTGATTGCTTTTTCTTTTGCTGTTTTGTCACACTTATTTTTTAAAGCATCAAACAAATGGCAAAAAAGGCAACCAGAGTAAATATAAAATGCACTAATTAAATGATGATTTCATTTATTAAAGAGAAAAGGCTACCCAAATCTACCTGTGCATATTTGAGAAAGTAACGACGTCAGCCTTCCCAGAGTTAGTCTGGAGTCCATTAGCTTATTGTACTCAGATTTGATTATTGATAGCCCTTCTTCTGTTTGTTGATCACTTTTCTGGGAGATGTTTTATAGAAGAAATTGAATTGTCTCATGCAGGTGGAACAGTTTTTATTGACTAGCACTGTCACCTCACAGCAAAAAGTTTTCCAGATTTTCAGGGACTCTGGTTTCCTCCCACAGTCAAAAGACACGCATGTGAAGGGAATTAGTCATTCCAGGATTGGCTGTAAAGCACGAGTGGTTGTCGATTTCTCTATTTGAGGCCTTATTTACCCAGCCCACTTGTTGCTATACCTGCGTCTGCTGTGCTTACCACCAATTTTTCTTGTTCTGTGTAATTTCCAGATTTTATATTTGAAACATGCACATTTTGATGTCTGGTTGCTTCTGCATATTTTCTTACCTCTCTTTTAAAGCTGCCATGTTCATGGAGCATTGGAAAAGGAGGCAGATGAGACTCAACTATGAATGGGACCTTACAGGGTTTGAGGATGAGGAAGTGAGTAATAATAAAACTGCTTTTCTGTGTGAAAGGATAAAAAGCAGAGACCCAAGGCCCACATAATAAATAAAAGGTCTGCTATATATACAATACTATAAAGAGAACCCAGGTCGCCAAACTAGAAATGTTGTCTTTTGTGACAGATATTCATATTCTATTCATATTTTCATGTTCATAATAATATTTAAGGAAATCAGACTTTTCCATTTAAGAACATTTTTGTGTTTATTTTTATTTTTGTTGTCCATTCATGTTCACTCACATTGAGCATGAATAGACTTTACTATTCACTGTGATTATAAAAAAAAACAGTACCCCCTCTCAATTTACTGTCATACAGACTGAAAACATATTGACCCATTTTTCACTTTACTTAAATGTTGTTTCTCTGAATTTGTTTTTCACAGGAAGCTCTCAAGGTTTGGTGAAATTCATATTATTTTATTACTATTATCTTGTCTCTTTACTTTTCATAACCTTTCTGCTGCTGCTGCGACCTGCACAGTTTATATATATTCTTAATACCATGCACAGTCCAAAAATGATTTATTGGGAAAAAAATTATATTTATAAAATTATGACCATTGACTAACATTTTGTTTACTGGACAAAGTGCACACATGATTTGACTGATTGGTTCATAACTGTGAAATCCTGATTTCATGATTGTGCTTGTTTGAGTGCTTTCTGACACAAGTCTTTAAACAATAAATGAAGAGATGGATCCCAGAATGCTTGTTTTATATCAGTATCCCTTTGGCAACTTCATTGCTTTTTTTCTCTAACTGTTAAGCTGAATGGATCCTGGGATGGATGAAAGAAAATCATATCAGAAAATGTTAATTTTATCACCTTATACAGACACCCTAAAAAGATAGTTCTGTCCAGTTTAACAGCAAACAAACTACCATCTCAAACAATGAGTAAGATCATCACACTTGGAAACAGGCAAAAAAGTATGTAGCCAGCTTTTAAATGTGTCTCGTATTTAGGTTAGTTTGATAGTTATAACATGTTTAATCACAATTATTAGTAATTGTGAGACCCTCCACTCCCAGGTTCCATTAGACACAGCTTATAAATGTTAAGTCTGTACATTATGATAATGTTTCTTCTTTAAACTGCACTGTGGTCATTTCCTTTCAGCTCACATCTTTCCTCTTCTATTCACTTTTACTCTAACTGTGATTTTTCACTTCACTGTCTTACGGATGTCAGTTATTTGACTTACTGAAAAGTAAGAAAACATATTTTTAGTGTTAAAAATTTTTCAATTAAATGATGATTGTGGCTGGACTCCACAGTTGTTTTCTCCCAACCTCTGGTGTTTGTTTTCTCTGAAGCTGTTGGAGAAAACAGCCAAAACATTATTTTTCAGAAAAGACTTCTTGTATTCCAAGCCTGTAGAGTGACTTAGTATCTTAAAGAATAACTGTCCCTACATTAGCATCATCTTTCTTATAGGTGGTTGGAGAAAACAACCACCAGAGGTTGGGAGGACAATCAGATTGATTTTTATGCACCTGTGACAATAGGACCCAAAACACCTGAATTCAAAGATTAAGGGAAAAGATACTTTTTTGAAATTATATTGATGTTATACTTTTTTGATACTGTTTTTGGTTAGACTTGTCTCTTCAACATCTATTTTAGTTTGGTTAGTATGAATCACTGCCACTGTTTATCATTTTTTGTGTGTGTCATCATAGGATCACCCCAGGGCTGAGTACGAATTCAAAGTAATGCAAAAGTCTCTTAAGAAACGTCAGAAGTCCCAGGACAAGGTAAACACACTCTATGCTGTCCATGAAAATCTTTTATTATTAAAGCTGCGTGTATCATAAGGTTATTGAGTATTCTAGTTGTATTTTACTTTAAAACTGTTTTGCCGAGCGCTTTAGTTTGTGCATAAAAAATATTGACATATTGTCTTATGTCAATATACCTACATTTGCTTTTGCAAATGCTATTAAACATCTTGCAAGAGCTGACACTTTGTCATGTATTTGTATGTTCGCATTGTGTAATCTAATACTTTTTTGTGCCACTGTTTATTGCACAGCCCACCGGAAAACATTTTATCAACAACAATCTTTTCAAAACAAAAGTAGTTATATTTGCTTTGTGCACAGAACTAAGACTGCACATTTACAGCATATTTAGCACCAATATTTATGAGTGTGCATACCTTCTATTCTGTTTGCCTTGCCTAACAATCACACACACTAAGATGGGTGCATTGGGGGCAACTCAGGGTTCAATATCTTGCCTAAGGAGAGTTCAACATGCAGACTGGAGTAAGCCAGGGATTTGCCACTCTGCTATCTGAGTCACAGCTGCCTCTAGCTAATGTAATAGTATCTTACTATATAACAGAGCACTTTACTCTTAGACTGTGGCCTTACTTGTATTCCTAAAGTATAATAAGAGGCTTGAGCTAACAGCTCTCTAATAGTCCAAGGATTTGTTTGCCATTCATGTGAAATCGCTCTGAATCAGTTTCCTTGATCTTTCATTTAGTTTTTTAGTTTTGCTCTCAGAGAATCAACAGCTCTAAAAGTGAAAGTTAGTTTCTGATTATATTTTTGTTTGACATGTTTTGGTTCATATCAGACTCAAGAAGCAGACTAGCACAGACACTTTATAATGTTTATTGAAACACAACAGGATGCGTACTGCCCAGAGTTCTGTCAATGAGCTTAAGGAACTCTCGACAGGGGAGCGACGGTGGGCTCTATTTGTTAGAGTCTGCAACAGTCTTTCTTGAGAGAAATCCTCTGAAAATTCAGGGGCTACTCGGTTGCCTAGAGGGCTCCCAGAATGGCAAAGAGGAGGTACATGGAGAGGAGATAAGTGCTTCCCTTACAGGTGACTGAGCTATCGTCACCTGTAAGGAGCTTGTGGCTTGGAGGTAACAGATTTCTGGGAATCATTTGATCTTGGCATTAAGTGGTGTCCCTTTAACGGAGGCCTCCTGCTGGCCTGGCCTGTCAGTGATTAAAGTCAGCATTCTTGTTTCAGGCCTGTTGATATTGTTGAGCTGGCTAGTGCATTCCTTGTACCAGGCTGTTGATTTTCTTTTTTTTGGAACTTTCTCTTTGTCTATTTTGCTTTCTTAATATGTTGTGTTGATTTTAATACATTTAAAAGTATGACTGTGGTGACATTACATGTCATGTTTGACCTGAGTTAATTTTTTTTTTACTGTTTTATTATTTACTTGTTTCAGATAGAAAAGCTTACATTTCAGGACCGTCTGCCTGCCTACATGACTAACATCGTCATGATGTTGTTAATGGTAGGAAAAATCTTATTCTCTGCATATACTGTACATCACTGATGTTATGTTTAAAAGCTGAAAAACCCTTTTACTCCTTCAGATTGGTGTTACATTTGCCATTGTGTTTGGTGTGATTCTCTACCGCATCTCCACCAAAGCTGCTCTTCATATGAGTTCCAGTCCGATCACAAGGAACCATGTGCAGCTGACAGTTAAAACCACTGCAGCCATCATCAACCTTGTGGTCATCCTTATACTGGATGAGGTATATGGAGCTGTGGCACGATGGCTTACTGTATTAGGTAAGTTTTGTATAAAACAGGCTAATGCTGTTAACTAAACTTAGCACAAATACAGTAAGGACATTTGTGTCTGGTCAATTATTTCTTTGTCTTCACAATAATTCTTATACCATTGGAAAGCCTTTTTATATGACACGTAAACATAAATGTTTATTACTATGTTCATACCAGTGTATGAATATCAGTTGGGTCTGGTCTATTCAGAGTAAAACAAAAACACAAGCTATTCAGCTAGAATGGCAAAAGAATAGTAGTTAGTTGATGTATCTCTAGTTCTGTGATTATGTGTGTAGCCCTCCAATGGGCTTCCCTATTAGTTATCTCTTATGCATGGTAAATGGACTGATTGTTATATAGCACTTTTCTGCTCTCCTGGAGCACTCTGAGCGGTTTATGCAGCATGCCTCATTCACCCATTACACCCATACAAGAACTTTTTTTCTAATGATCACACACATTCATACTCTGATGGATGCATCAGAGAGCAACTTGGAGTTAGTATCTTGCCCAAGGATATGCGGACTGGAGAAGCTAGGGATCAAACCACCAACCTACTGATTAGTAGATGACCTGCTCTACCAAAACACAGTATTCTCATTAATAATGTCATGAATGGCCAAATAAGAAAAATAAGGCATTTGAAACGCAGCAGCCTCTATGCCTTTGTCACCTCAGAGGGAAGGAGAGAAAGCATGAGTCAAATCTCAGCTATCAATGCCCTCCTCATCTGAAAGGTTTTCCACGTCACTGCTAAGGCAACAAATCACTTATGTGCAACCTTAAAAAGCAGCTGCGAACTGGTAATTTACCATATCCAGTAATCAGTTATGTAGAATCCCAAACACATGCAAGCACAGAGCTAAAATGAAATGGTAGAAACCCTCATCTAAATGCTAATGTTATGGCTAAACTGTGAATCACCAGGTATGTCCCAGTTCACGTAGACCGCGAAGGCTGGGTCATCCGAAGGATGTGCCTTTGAATTGGGACATAGCTAGCATCATGTTTTTGCAAAACATGAAACAATAAGTACTGGTAATGACCACTCTAAAGGTTTAGTTAAAGGAACATCTGGGTTTAAAGTGTAGCTAGAATCTAGACTGATTTGCAGCTGCTGTTTTGTGGTAGTGGATGGTTGGGGCGGGTGCTGCCTTACCGTTTTGAGATGTGGGGCTTAGGGGGCTTGTGGTGACAGGTGACTCGGTATAGGCCTGGGACCGCACATGATTGGGTGCTTCCTTAACAGGAGTGGTCTACACCCCCTTAGTCACTCATCTCCATGGTTTGGCCCATGCAACTGTCAGACAGGTGTTAAAATAAATGGACTGAGACAACGTGGGAAACTACTTTGTGGTCATATGAATCCAAATTTGAAATTGTTCTTGAAAAATGCTGCAACCTCCTGACTTAAGAGGATAGAAAGCATGTGACTTTTTTTTTTATCAGCACTCCATTCAAAAGCATGGCTTTGTAATAGAAGAGTCTGGGAACTGGGCTGCCTGCAGCCCAGACCTTTCAACAAATAAAAACATTTCAGTATCATGAAATCAGGAATATAAAAAAAAAGACCCAGGACTGTTTAAAGCCTGATCTTGTTGATCAGACAAGAATGAAACAACATTCCTCTCCCAAAGGACCAGCAACAGATCTCCTCCCACATGTTTAGAAATGAAAGATATTTTTAAAAGAAGAGGGGATGCCACATAGTGGTGAACATGGCCCCATCTCATCTGTTTTGAGACATGTTGTTGTTTTATTTTGTTCCAGTGTTTAGAAGTAACTGTCAAAAAGAAAAAGAAAATAATAATAATAATATTTTTTCTGTTCCCTTATAGAGGCTCCTAAAACTGACAAGAGTTTTGAGGAGAGACTCATCTTCAAGACCTTCATTCTCAAGTTTGTTAATGCATTTTCCCCAATCATCTACATTGCTTTCTTCAGGGGAAGGTTAGTAATCTCATAATTTATTGTTTTTGTTTAGTGGTTTTTCTTTTTTTTCTTTTTATTTTACCAGTTACTGTTTATGCACAAAGTTTAATATTTGATACTTCACACTTTAAACAGTTTTCCATTCATTTTCATTTTAGACTTGTAGGCAGGCCAGGCAGCTACCTATATGTGTTTGACTCTTACAGAATGGAAGAGGTAAGCCTTGTGTTTTTACAAATTAACCTCAAACAAAAGCTTTCATAATAATTTCAGACTGGACTTGGAGTATAATTGTTCTGAAGATAATTTAAACAAAATAAATACATTTTATTTTACTGCACTTTCTCCCAGTTTTCATACTAAACACATTTTTAAGTCACATTCTAGAAGTATAATGACGTTTTTATTGAACTGCTTGTTCTTTCTGTTTTCTGGTAAAGAGATTGTTGCCTTAAGCTAAACGACTTCACCAGAGTCAAAATCAGAATCAGACTTTATTAATACCAGGGGACAATATAATATTACATATAATGCATATTATTAGATTAGTATTTCAGTCTTGCCTCAAAGAAAATCACAATTGTTGATTCTGAATTGGTTAAACGATTGAATGCGTATGCATGATTGATCTGTGTGTGTGTGTGTGTGTGTGTGTGTGTGTGTGTGTGTGTGTGTGTGTGTGTGTGTGTGTGTGTGTGTGTGTGTGTGTGTGCGCCCCAACTTTCACCAAAGCTTTGGTTCTGTAGCTTTTCACTTAGTCCTCACCCCGACACATTTCTGGTCCTCAGTCACACAGTTACATGCAGATTTGAGGTTTAAAAGGTGGAATAATTCCTAATAATGCACTCCTGCACATCATGTGAACTATCCAGAGAAGCACTAACACAATCTTAAAGACCACATTCAGCCTGCTTCACTTTCTAACTGGAGATTCACCTTTATATCACAAGCATATTAGTTATCATTAGTCATTTTCCTCTCACTTTTTCTGAATTACAATGCTATTTCCAGAGAAAAATGCAAGTGTAAAATCTGCACCTACACACTACTCATTTCCTCATCAGATCTGCTTAGTTTTGACCAAGTCACTTAGAAAATGAAGTTGGTGCAACATTATTAATAAATTGGCATTCCAGTATTTATCACACACTCTAATGGATACACTGGGGCAAATTCTCCAAAGATATTTCAACTCATGGACTCGGGAGGACTACAGGGAGGCAGGGATCAAACCAACCTTCCTGTGATTACATGACCCAAGGTAGAGCAAGTCATTGTGCTCTGCACACTGTTGTGTTATAATGAAAATATTTACATTTCTCCTAGTGTGCCATTCTCTGAAGGTCTAAAGAAATGTTGCTGCCATACCAGTGTGAGATGTTGCTGGTCAGGACACTCTCTAAAGTGCCTTTGTAGAAAGTGGTGATGGCAAGAGTGCAAGTGCTGTTGTGTCGTCTTGACAAGAGAGGTCGTGTTTGCATACTGTATCAGGTCATCTTTTTGCCCAGATATCCACACAATCAGTAAAAAAATTGCAGTTGTTGCTGTCTTTGCAACAAGAACGGAGAATCCTGTCCTTTTGCTTTAGGTGTACTTTTAAAAATTCCTTCTTTTCTGTGGTGGACTTTAGTGTGGGATTGTTTTTACAGTGTGCTCATGGAGGCTGTCTGATGGAGCTGTGTATCCAGCTGAGTATCACCATGTTGGGAAAGCAACTTATCCAGAACAACCTTTTTGAGATTGGAATACCGTAAGTAGGACCACTTCATATTGGTTTGTTGCTCTTGCACATCACATTGTTGTAGTGTAATTGCATGAGATCTTCTTTCTATAATCACTCCTCGATATTCAGGAAGTACTTAAAAAAATACTTATCTGAATTCCATTCTCTTGAATTCTGTGCACACTCCTACATATTGACATTTAGTAATAATAACTTTTGTTATGCATATCAAACACTGTTATGTTGTGAGGAGATAATGTAACTTTTTTCTGTTCGAATGTAATCACTGGCATCATAATTCAGCTAGAAAAAGCAGAAGCCACAATGCCAATTTGAGTAAACCGTATAACACCCAAGGCTGAGGTTAGCATTGACAGCCTGTGGCAACACAAAAAACACACTCCTTTTGACTGTAGCTGTAGAGAAGGATCATCAAACCATCAAACAACTCATCTGTAGTCCAAGTTATTACTTATAAAATGAAATGATTGAACACAACTTATTACTTCCAAATGTACAGCACCGACATGCCATTGATCTGTGTCCATTATTGTTTATATATGCGTGCGTCTATATGCATTTGTGTATTCATATGTGCACATGTCTTTCAGCAAACTGAAGAAACTGATTCGATACATTCGGTCAAAGCAAGGAGCTTTTCAGGAAGAAGAGAGACAGAAGAAGTTGACGAGATATGAAACAGACCATTTTCTGGAGCCATTTGGTGGATTAACTCCTGAATATATGGAAATGAGTCAGTACTACGCACTAAATATCCTTCACCACTTTGATTCTTAAATACTAGATATGAACAAAGCAAAACACAAGTCTGTTTTCTTGTGTGCAAAGATAATTTTCTATAAACACTGATGGCCGCGTGTCATTCAAAAGTCTAAATCACGACTAAAGGATCAGTTGTGAGATTATACTGATTCTTATTGTGGTTTCAAGGTTTTGAGGATTTCCATGTTAATCTATATTCTAATTCAATGCAGTTTTGTTTATGTACAGATAGTAGACAAAAAAAATAAATTGTGTCTATAATATGTTTTCAGTACATTTATACATACATTTATTTGCACAGGTAAAGGGATATGTTGGTACTGATTTTTTGCTTTGCTCCTTTGTCCAGTCATCCAGTTTGGTTTTGTTACATTGTTTGTGGCATCCTTCCCGCTGGCTCCACTCTTTGCTCTGCTCAACAACATCATTGAAATACGACTTGATGCCAAGAAATTTGTGACGGAGCTGCGAAGACCAGTGGCAGCAAGAGCTAAAGACATCGGTGGGTTCTATTTAAAACACTGTGGCATGTTTAAAAATGCATGTTATTCAGGAAGGATCACAATAACAAGAGAAAATAATATTTGTTTAATTATAAGAAGAGAAATCTTATACCTGAAAAACATTAGCTGACACATATTCTCATTGTACAGGAATATGGTACAACATACTGAGAGGGGTAGCAAAAGTTGCTGTCATCATTAACGTAAGTAATGTCTGCTGGTTTTATTCTTTTGACATGCTGCATGCACGATCATGTTTGTGTTAAAACTAATGTAAAAAAATTTGTCTAAGTTCATATCCATAAACAAATTGTATACATAACAAAACAGGAAAAAGGACCCACACATATTCCTCAAATATGGTGAGTAATAAACTTGATATATATTGTGAAACAATTACATAAAAAAGCTCCTTCGGTCGCTTCCTATAACCTGACATCACCTTAACTGTACCCATACTTATGTAGTTTACCCAGGGCCTGAACATACTTCCTTTAATAATAATAATAATAATAATAATAATAATAATAATAATAATAATAATAATAATAATACATGCAAAGAGAACTCACCTTTACATTAGCTAAATATCACATAATACCAACTAAGCAATTCAAATAAAAAGGCTTGCAGCTCATTTTCTAAGTAACAATTAGCTGCAAAGCAAGATAGCCCAGATGCTAACTCTGCAAAGATAAGAAAAGTGACCATTATCCTCCAGCCTGCAAAAAACAAACTACACAACAAAGAATGTATTTATTATTAGAACCACAACTCTTACTATGCTGCCAGCAAACGTACCATGAAACGCGTTTCCTTCCATGGACGGATTATGCAAACATTCACACACAGGACACTTGATTAGTTTACTAGTAAGAGGTTGGACCAGGGGTGGGCAACTCCAGGCCTCAAGGGCCGGTGTCCTGCAGGTTTTAAATAACACCCTGGGTCAACACACCTGAATCACATGATTAGTTTGTTACCAGGCCTCTGGAGAACTTCAGGACATGTTGAGGAGGTAATTTAGCAATTTAAATCAGCAGTGTTGGATCAAGGACACATCTAAAATCTGCAGGACACCAGCCCTTGAGACCTGGAGTTGCCCACCCCTGGGTTAGACACTCTTTTGACTTCAGCTGTCTTAATCCTTCATGGTATAAATTCAACAAGTTGCTGGAAAAATTCCTTAGAGATTGTGGTCCATGATGACATGATGGCATCACACTTAGTGCTTTCCTGTCTTTGTTTCCACTCACCCCAACTGCTCATGACAGATCAAGACCACTCTCTGGGCCTTTTCTGCCAGTCTCCTCTTGAGCTTCTCTCTCTCTAATATAGTAGCAGCTTTGTGATATAAACGTCCTGAGATAGCAAAGTGAATTGAAATTAAATTGAGGTGTTGAACCCCAGGTTGCCCACTTCAGTGTGTGTGTGTGTGTGTGTGTGTGTGTGTGTGTGTGTGTGTGTGTGTGAGAGAGAGAGAGAGAGAGAGAGAGCTGGTGAATGTGGGATTGATTGACTACTTTTAGTGCTCAGTTGAGTAGGAAAGTGATATCTAAGTACCAGTGCTGCAGAGTTGTTTGCTGATTGCTGAGGTGCACAGTGAATAACAGTTGCCAACACTCATCTGATTTAGTAGCTGCAGAGATCCAAACCTCCTCTGACATTAACATCTGCACACAAACTATGTGCTGGGACCTTAATGGCATTGGTTTCAGTGGTCATCTCCTGTAGGTGTAATATGTAGGTGGACCCGGACTATATCAACCTCACACACTGCCACGAGCTCCTTATGTATGCAGATATGTTTTAATGAGTTAATAGTTGCAGATTCAAAATGTTTCTGTGCTCATCTTTTGCACCAAGACCAACAGAACAAAGAAATATGATGATGGGATATAGAGATGTTGATATTGATGCTCAAATTTGGTCATAGTAAAAAAAAAATTTAGAAAAGAAATGAAAAATTAAATGAAAATTTTTGCTTTAGAGTTTTAGAAATTGTGACACCTGGAATTGGTGTAAAATTAATTTACCAAAGTTTGCATGTGTTTTTCATTCATGAAAAATTATTTTATCTGCCTAGTTATGAAGTTACAGTATGAGGGCTTAAAAACTATTTTAAAAAATTGACTTAAAAGCCAACCATTTTACCGTATGAGGGCTTGTAACTCAGTTTTCATCGTATGAATGTAAAAATTTGGTTTCAATAGATAAGTTTTATTATTTTATTATTATTTCAAAACAATCACTTAGTTCTGGGAGGATCAGGTAAGAAATGTTCTCAGATTTGATTGATTTTATGAACTATACACATTAAACTAATATTCACTCACATGCTGGCTATATGGTGCTTATATTATCTTATCTCTTTTGTAGATTGTGTTTTTTATTCTTCTTTTTGGCCTGTCTTTCTGCATTTCCAGCTTAATGGAGTTTTCACCCTATCAAAAGATAAAGCTATGTTTTGCTCGATGCCAAGTGCATACTCAAAAGGAAACATTACTTTTATCTTTTTAAATAAAGAAATAAAGCAGTATGGCTGGTATTGCAGCTACAACATTCCAGTTGGTTGTATACTTAAACCTGTGTGTAGTTACAGTTCACATAGTTCATATTTGTTTCCATTTGCCACACTTCTTTTTCTCTCTCTAATGTCCAAACCTATGTCCCTGCTCCAGGCATTCGTTATCTCCTTCACGTCAGACTTCATCCCTCGGATGGTTTACCAGTACATGTACAGTCCTGATGGCTCCATGCATGGATTTGTCAACCATACACTGTCTTATTTTAATGTCAGCCACTTCCAGGATGGCAAAGAACCCATGGATCCATCACACCCTGTTGTAATATGCAGGTAGGAAATTATTCTCAGGTTACAACTGTCATAACATTTCAATAAATGTAAAAGCTTTTGAAATAGGTATTTCTAAAAGTTTAGTTATCATTATGCTTCTTTAAAAACCTATTTGTGAGTTAAAAGAAAATCAGTGATTTTAGATGATTTTTAAATCATTTGTGAATCAGTGTCTCCAGCATTCAGGTTATTAATTGAGTCATTGTTGACAATGACTTCAAAATAAAATGCAAATGAGTACAGTGCTTTACAATGAAGGAAGCTATTTTGGTCTTTATTTATTTCAATAAATAAACTCTTAAGCCCAGAGATGTGCCATTCTGTAATCCTTGCACAAGCTTTTCAATCCATTGCAATTACTCCTCTTGTCTGCATGCTGAAGCATCCCCAGACAAGGTACTGAGCCTCAATGCATCCAATGTGAGTGTATGTGAATGTTAGATAAGGCACTTAGTGTTAGAGAAAATCATCATCAAATAAGCTTTTAGTAAAACGCACTTTAATTGCTAAACTAGACTGGAAAAGTGCTACATAACAAGTCCATTTACCATATTACTAAAACGAAAAAGAATCTGGTGACAAAGCTGTTGGCACAGAAAGAGGAAAGAAAAGCAAGGAAACACTAAGGACTGACGCTTAACAGAGACCAAGGATACAAAGCTGGCACTGGAAGTGTAAACCATAGAAACATGCAACCAAAACTATATATAAAGACAGCAAGCGGAATTCAAATACCAACATGTTAAGTTTGAGATAAGTTTGTGTGTCCAGCAGAAGTTACCATGGTGATTTAGCAAGTTAAAAAAGACACTTTCATGACACAGAAAAGCAATAAGTATATAAGAAATAATATAGCTGGTATAGAACTGTGCTGACAATGCTAACGCTAATGGACTTGGCAAAAAAAAAATGTTGGATTATTCTTTCTTTCTCTTGCTTTAAGTCCTCTAGCTTAATTGCTGTGTACAGACAGCCATAGAAAAAGGGTGGCACCTATGGCAGGAGAGATGGCAACACACCGATAGAGGGTCAAAATCACAGCAGGCCTTGCTGGGACGTAACACTGTCAGGGAGTTTCTGGTTTGTTAAACACATGTTGAGGGGAACATCTGGGAGATTGCACTACATTCTAAATTATCCCTATCTAATCATTTAGATAGATTATATGTATTATATGTACTGGCCTGGTTTTGCCAAATTTCTTCTCAAAATTGAGTGTTAAATTGTGACCAAATGTGATACCTGTTTTTTTTGTCACTAAGGTATAAAGACTACAGAGAACCACCTTGGTCAAACACACCATATGAGCTATCCAGGGAATTCTGGGCAGTGCTGGCTGTCCGTCTGGCTTTTGTTATTGTTTTCCAGGTAGGTAATACATAAAGCAATTACTAGTAATGTTCTTATGAATTTATTTTATTGAATTATCACATACTTTTTAAAGAGAGGTGCTGAACTATGATTCTGACGTAGGGTCTGGTCAGAACAACCGACATATCATTATAACAGCCAACATAAAACATCACAGTTGAGTAGAACAACCAGAAATTGAGAAAATGATCACATAGTCCATGGACAGGAACTTACTTGTAGCTGAAAAGTAAAGTCAAGTCTACTCAAACTGGCAGTTCAAGGAGACAGGGAGAACATACAGGAACCTGATTGTTGTGAGGTGACTGATACCTCCTGTACCACTGTGCTGCCCTCCTATAAATCCCTAATGATAAACCTCTACTGAAGGTCTTCTGCAGTTTTCCATTTTCCAAAAATTAATACTTTTTTTTGTCCTTGAGTTGAAATAAAATCCCACTTTCTGGTGGAGTCTGTAACTGCTCTCCTGCAGCGTCTGGCACAAATGTTCTTATTTAACCACTTGGTATGCAGATACAGGGACGTGTTACAACAGTGGAGGTCTGCAGCCCCTCTCTACTTGTTGCACAGTTGAATATCAAACACTAGATAGACAAAAGTACTGAGACACCAACACATTACACCCACAGGAGTTGCTCAGCCATGGAAACTTACTGAATCTCCTGGTGCACAGTTTTGTGTTTGTGTTAGTGCCAGAGGAGCTTTGGAACGCTCCAGTTAATATGTTTGTCCATATAGTGTATAAGGAATTTTAGTATGGTTAGTCAAGGCCAAAACCATTGAAACATTTTGTCCTATCTCACTCTGCTCTCTTTTCTTTCCCTCACCCTCACGGGTTTTGAAAGATGGCTGCTGCTCCCTGAGCCTGGTTCTGCCAGAGGTTTCTTCCTGTTAAAAGATAGTTTTTCCTTCCTGCTGTCACTAACTGCTTGCTTATAGGGAGTTGTCTGATTGCTGGGGTTTTCTCTTTATTATAGTAGGATTCTTATCTTACACTATAAAGTGCCTTGGTGCTGTTGTAATTTGGCACAATATAAATAAAATTGAACTGAATTGATTTAAAATGAACTATATATGCCAAACGGTTGAAAATTTTAGAAAAACATAAAAGCATGTGACCTACGGGATGTTGGGGATTCAAACTGTGGAAGTTCTGAGATTATTTTTTTGTTTTTACCAGAAGAAAAATTGCTGAGTTGTCCCATTTCTTTCATTTCTTTCTGACAGAACGTTGTGATGCTCATGAATGACATTGTTGACTGGCTAATCCCAGACATCCCAAAAGATATCAGCCTGCAGATGCACAAGGAGAAGATTTTATTGGTAGAGCTGTTCATGAAAGAAGAGCAGGGCAAGAGCTATATCATTCACAGCAGCACTTCAACAGATGGAAAGGAAAACTGCAGCAAACACAACAACAGCAAAGTGGCGCCCCCACGCTCCCGACGGCATACCAACAGCACCAAAAGCTTCTAACAGCCATGCTAGCAGCTATGGCTAGTAGCTAGTAGCTATTAGTTTAATTGTTGTTAGCATGTCGAAGCTTGCTAGTAGTTCTCTCTCAGGACAGACTAAATTGTATGTTTTTCTTAATATTCTTAACATTCCAACAACTGGGACAGCAGTTGGCCAAAGAGATGTGAGAAAATTAAATCTGTGGCCAAATATGTTGCATGTTTTTGTTGAGCTGTGAAACTGTCACTCCATGTGTGTAGGGTTGCCAACCGTCCCTTAAAAAACGGAATCGTCCCGTATTTAGAAACAAAAGTACACGTCCGGTATTGAGCTGAAAAGGGACGCACTTTGTCCCGTAATACAGTGAGAATCAAAAGTAGTCTATAAGTTTTAATGTAA